TTATTCCATGCTAAAAAAAGCATTTTTCAGCATGGAATAAACCTTTTACTTGTTCCTTTGCAGCCTACGCATGCTGATGCAGCTACCCACCTGAACTGCTAATGCCTGAAGTAGCCTATTAATTGTGACTGCACTAGCATATGATGTGCTGCTGTGCCCATTTGAGAGTGCATGCTTCCCAATTGTGCCAAATGCTTCTGTACATGTGTATATAGGGCCAAGGAGGCTTTTCGCAAACGTAAGAATAAATAATTCTTTAGTTTTGATTCTAACTTGTCTGTTTTTGTACAACGTGTTGAACAAAATTTGAACTTTAAATGTAATGATATGTAGGGCACAGTTGTGTTTGCTGGTTGGGAGTGATGTGTGTTGAGGGGGGAGGGGCTCCTTGAAATTCTGTAGCCCTGGGGCCTTTCACTAAATGGTGTCCCAAGTGCTCTTTTTTCTCATTTTCAATTCGATTAAATTCAATTCATTTTATATAGCGCCTTTAACAACAAGGTTGCCCCAAGGCGCTTAACAATGCAAGTGATCCATGTTGTAAATACAGAACAGAAAAGACCAGAAGACAAGGGAGGAGAGGAACCAAAAACTCCTTAGTAAGGAGAAAGCAAACCTCTAGGGGTCCAAGATCAACTGGCTGTCCAACCCTTTTGGGCATGCTAACATTATACAATTAAAAAAAGAAAGAAATGAATGAGGGTATTAATCCATCCATCATGTCTTCTGTATGTCAGTACTCTATGCAGATCTCTGTAGACCAGCAAAATCCTCCTAAACGATACCAATATACACGATGCCCCTCTTGGATCCATGGCAGTGGTGCAGCATCCAACTCAGATGGTACTCACCCCGGGCAATATCCGGACATGTGGGGAGGAGAATAGGATAGTTTACCTGAATTACCTCCAAGATAACTAGCCAAGGATGTGCCTCTGGTAAAAGAACATTTAAAGAAGGCTCAGGAAGGCCAAAGATTGCACTACATAATGCTGCTTCTTCCTGTTCCCAAATGTAAAATATATACTCATTGACAAGGACCTTATGAGGTGATTGAGCAAACAGGCCCTTTTAATTATAAAATCTTCCAGCCAGATAAGAAGAAAAAGGAACTAATTTGTCATGTAAATTTGATGAAGGCCTAGAGGGAGATAAAAATGAAGCCTCTTCCCTTGTTAATGTATGCACCGGGGTGCAAGGATCTGCAGCAATATCACTTGACCTAATGGAGAAACAGAGAGAGCAGTCATTAAAAAGTGGCATTAAAAAGCCAATAATCAACAAAGATTTCATATTAGTGATATTATGAAACCAAACCAAAAATGGGTTTTCATCTACCTTGAATCCCCCTCCTTCCTCACATTCTCCCCTGCAGAATGAAAAATCACCAAAGTGTAGAAAAATAGGGAAATGGGGATGTGGGAAAAGAGTGATTTGATATAATGAGAAATTCAGTGAGACAGGTCATACTGTAATACATTGTTATGCTTAGCAAGACCATCATGTTCTTAAGTGTGAATATACTTTTGCAGATTTAATATAGTATATATATTATTTTTTTAGATTTTATTATTAGAGAAAGAGTCTTTATTATCCCTAAGGGGCAATTTGTTAAAGTAACACTTGCGCATTGGTTGAAAATCGAATCCTACGTGGCAGGAAAAAGTCCTACTGCTGAACAGCCAACGCATAACTCGGATTGGACAAGATACAATTGTTAAAAACAATGCCTTCCAAAAGTATTCAGACCCTTTAAAAGTTTTCAAATGTTGCTGGCTTACAAATGACACATATACATCTTCCTTAAACAGACTGGGTTTTTTCCAGTAAATCCAGTAAATGTGACTTCAATGGTGTCAATGCTATGGTAAGGCAATTATATCCTTAAAATATCAGAATCGGTATCATTTGTAATCCAGCAACATTTGACAACTTTTATAGGGTTTGCAATACACTATGTATAAATGTATATGAACAATATATGTATATTATAATATATATTAAAATTACTGATGTTATAATTACTTGCAAAGGAAATGAAATGCATAAGAAAACTTTACTAAATGACAGTAAGAAACAAACTAAAAAACAGTATATTGTAAATAATGTGTATACATAAGAATAAGAAAACAGTTATTGATACTTTGTATCCTATATGTAATTTAAAAAACAATTAAAAATCTGTCTTACTTTACAGAATGATTAGCTCATGAAAGCACTTATGGGTTAAAACATTTAATTTTTTTTTAAAGATTTGTTTGAAAATCATTCAAATGAGTGGTACCTTAAAGATTTACTTCACCGCCTGACAATTTTACAGAGAAGTCCAGTCTTGCATCAGATTATTTGAAAAAAAAGTTGTGCAATTTGTCATGATAAAGCGCTTGTTGCATTATTTTAAGTTCAAGTTCAAGTTTATTGTCATTATTCTCATATACAGGTATATGGTATAACAAAATGCTGTTAAGATAGCTCTCAGACGATACGTAGTACATAAAAAAACAACAACAATACAATTGTATAATAAAAGAAAGACAGAGACAACAAGCAGTATGCAAAAACAACAACAGGCAGTGTGCAAAAACAATAACAGGCAATGTGCAAAACAACAAAAAGGTAACGGGTAATGTGCAAAAACAACATCTGATGTGCAAAAACATGTATCAACAGAATGAAATAGAAGGATAGAAATTATGGGGAGTGAGCTTTTTGACATGTAAGGTAGAGGTAGATTTCAATGTGTGAGTTTTTGGTTACAAAGAAGAAAGAAGGCACTGTGAGGTTCACATCGTAGGTGAGAGGTGAGGTGAGAGTGAGAGAGGCTGGGAGTTTAATAGTCTAATAGTGCGGGGGTAAAAACTGTCTCTGTGTCTGGTAGTCCGGGCCCAAATGCTCCGGTACCGTTTTCCAGATGGTAGAGGGTCATACAGTCTGTAGCTGGGATGTGAGGGGTCTTTGATGATGCTTAGAGCTTTCCTCAAGCACCGTCTGTCATAAATGTCCTGTATAGATGGGAGGGCAACCACAGTGATGGACTGGGCAGTTTTCACCACCCGCTGTAGGGCTTTGCGGTCAGCAATACTGCAGTTGCCATACCACAACCTGTCAGTGTGCTTTCTGTAGTACATCTGTAAAAGTTAGTGAGGATCTGGGGACATATCTTAGCCTTCTTCAACCGTCTTAGGAAGTACAGGCGCTGTCAGACAGGTGGCGTTGAGAGACCATGTGAGGTCCTCAGTGATATGGACACCAAGGAATTTAAAGTTACTGACCCTTTCCACTTCAGTCCCGTTGATGTGGATAGGGGCATGTCCGTTTTGCAGTTTCCTGAGATCAACGATCAGCTCCTAGGTTTTGCTGACGTTGAGGGTGAGGTTGTTGTCTTCACACAACATTGTAAGGAGATTGACCTCCTCCCTGTAGGCACTCTCATCATTGTCTGTGATCAGACCTACAACTGTGGTGTCATCGGCGAACTTGATGATGGGGTTGGTGTTGTGTTTGGCCTTACAGTCGTGGGTGTAGAGGGAGTAGAGTAATGGCCTAAGCACACACCCCTGGGGAACCCCAGAGTTAGTGTGCCGGAGGTATGGTTTCCAAGCCTGACAGCCTGAGGTCTGCCTGTCAGAAAGTCCCAAATCCAGTTGCAGAGGGTGGTGTTGAGACTGGAATGATAGTGTTAAAAGCTGAGCTGAAGTCGATGAATAGTAGTCTTAAGTATGTGTTCTTTTTATCCAGATGAGATAGGGCAGTTTATGGCAATGGAGATCGTGTCATCTGTAGATCTGTTGGGCCGGTAGGCAAATTGGTACGGGTCCAGTGTGTTTGGTATGGTGTCCTTAATGTGCTTCATGACCAGCCTCTCGAAGCACTTCATGATGACAGGTGTTAGTGCCACAGGTCGGTAGTCATTAAGACATGTCACTGTTGTTTTCTTCGGTATTGGGATGATGGTGGTTGTCTTGAAGCAGGTGGGGACTACGGCTTGGGCCAGAGACATGTTGAAAATGTCTGTGAATAAACCTGCCAGTTGATTGGCGCAGGCTCTGAGGATGCGGCTGGGTATGCCGTCAGGTCCTGCAGGCTTGCATGTGTTCCCTTTTTGCAGAGATCTCCTCACCTCATCTGCAGACAGGGAGAGCAGCTGGTCAGCTGCGGAGGGTGCAGCTCTGATGGCTGGTTCTGTGTTGCTGGCTTCAAACTGAGCATAGAAGGTGTTGAGCTCGTTAGGCAGGGAGGCATCATGGGCAGGTGCACAGATGTTCTTCCTCTTGTAGTCTGTGAGGGCCTGTATACCTTGCCACATGCGCCTTGGGTCATTAGTGGTGAAGTGTTCCTCTAATTCCTGTTTGAGTGTGTTTTTTGCATGTTTAATACCATTGTTTAGATTGATCCTGGCTGACCTTAGTTCTGATTTATTGCCCAATTTGAATGCTGTGGTTTCTGGTTAGGAAAAGCTTTTATTTCTTTTGTGATTGTGACATCGTCAGCACATTTCCTGATGTAGCTATTGACTGACGATGCGTGTTCCTGTATGTCGGTGTATGATCCCTGTGTGGCAGCCTCTTTAAACACACTCCAGTCAGTTTAAATGGCTGCATCTGTATATTTCACTGCTAGATAATAATAACAAATATAATGTGTAATTTTTCATTTGGACTTTATTCCTGTTTTTTGTTTCATAGGATTTTTTAGGTGTTTTTGACTTGAATTTAAACAATATTGTTTTAAATATTAAACTGCTATAACTATTGCTCAAAAGTTTTTTTTTTCTTTTTGTGTAGTATGGTTTAAATATCTTGTTTTGCATGCAGGAGAATATTCCTGGAAAGCCTTTCAGCTTCTGGCTCTGGTTAGACTCTATACTGGAACTCATTAAGAAGCATCTCTTGCCTGTTTGGATAGATGGGTAAGTATTGGGGATGGGTTAGCAAAGTACAAAATTCAACAGCAATATAAAGGTTTAATTGGGGTGTTTTACATAACTTTCTATTTTGCCCATTACTCTTCTGTAGAATATTTTAAAAAGTGGAAAAACATTGATTAGCTATTAAGAGGTTAAATATTTGGATGTATATTTTTCCATTTAAAATTGTGAATTTAATTGTGAATTGTGAAATTAAAATTATTAAATGAACGTAGATGTCTGGCTCACAAATTTGACAGAGTTGCTGTTTTAGTGATAAAAGTTAAAACTAGCTTTTATAAAAAGGACATTTCCACATGCAGACAGCTTTAACAGTACAGTACCCACATCCCACCACCAAAGGGGACCCAAACAGATAGTACATACCTCATCCACTCTGGGGAGGTGTAGATTAATCAGACCTCTTTAACCCTTCACCATGCCTCCCCTTCAGCCTACTTAAACCATGCTCCCTGTTTCAACCTTGCTCAGTATTAGGTTTACAAACCTGAGAGGTACACATCCTGTTTCCCTAAGATATTCTCTGCTTCCCTTTTTGGCCTTTGGACTTTTTGCCTTGACCACAAATTCTGGATTCTCCTTTGGATAATTATTACTTCAAAATCTTTTGTCTTTTTGACTGTTTGTTTGGACTACAGCCTTGGATTTCCCAGATTTCCTTGTAACCACATAGGCTTAATCACTTACCATCAGCTACTTGTAGCATAACAACGACAGCAAATATAAAAATGCATGGGAAATCGTAGTCATGGTAATCAAAAAAGTATATATAGACTTGACTGCAAATCTTATCTTTTGATTTAGGTATATCATGGGGTTCGTCAGCAAGGAGACAGAGCGTGCTTTACTGAAGGAAAAGGAGCCAGGAACATTTCTCTTAAGATTCAGTGAGAGCCACTTAGGTGGAATCACTTTCACATGGGTTGATCAGTCTGAGAACGGTAAGCATGGATTGCCAATAGTGGAATAACTAAATTTAACATTTTTCATCTGATCTGTTTATTACTTAAAGGTAAATATTTTTTATTGCTTAAAGGCTCAGTCTAAAAGGCAGTGTTTTGCAGTGCTTTTCATCTGTAAGTTAATGTTAGATCACGCATCTTCAACTGTGCTCCTGATGAGACCCTATCTATCAGGTTTTAAATGTTCACCTTTAAAGAGATGTCATGCCACCTAGCAATGAAAGTTTCTTCTCTGTATATTTTCTTTGGTGGTTTTTGGGCATCTTCTTCAGACTGAATGTCCTGAATAACCCTATTTGTCTCCAAGTCCAAGTCCATTTTGGGTAGAGGAGGGTGGAAGACAATGCTAGGGATTTCCTACTCCTCTGCTCTCAGTCTCTGGTGTCTGAGTCCTCTCCTGGGTCTAACCAATGCAATCTTTGTCTTTTCCATTGTTCTGTCTGTGTTTATTTGTAGTCTCCCTCAACCAGGACCCCTCATGGGGGTGGAAGTGTCTCTTTGATGTCTTGGGTGTGGGCAGAGCTAATTGTGTGGAAATGGTTGTCTGAGCAAGGACTTTTGATCAATGCGAAGCTTAAAAACAAGGAAATAAAAATGCACTACCCTTACTGAGCCATTGTGCATTCTTTCCACTTTAAATCGATACAGTCTTTGTCACCCTTTTTTTTCCACTCAGTGACATAATTTCTGAAGAAAAATTAAACAGAACAGACATCTGATTTGATTACAGGAAGGACTGACTTATGTTTTTAGTTAGCTGACCTAACAGACAGTATCAGTATCTGTTCTACAAACCACAAAGGGGCACATTTAAGTGAACATTTAGAGACAAGTATTGTTTACCTGCTATTGTGAAAAAGTGAGTGTAACAATAGCTTTAAATTGACAATTTTGAAATACCTAGAATAATTTGTCTGTAAAGGAACAAGTTATAGATTTATTACACCTGAAGAAGGCTCCACAGCCGAAACATTGTGTTTTCATTCTTCTCTTTTCAGCATGGAATAAACCTATTATTTGTTCCTTTGCAGCCTACGCATGCTGACGCAACTACCCACCTGAATAATTTATCTGTGATGAGCTTAATAGGCAGTGTTTTTTTTTTAAATTAAGTAGAGATCATTGGAAGAATAAAACTGAAGACCCCTGATTCCTTAATGACCAAAGTTCCTTTATTGAACAGATTATTTTCTTAAATTAATCAGTAAATTACACATTTTCTAATTAAAAAGGTGATTGATATAGAGTGACCTAAAAACTGGACTGGTCTGAGCAGAAGCATGGTTTGGCATACCTGTTAGATAATCGAGAATATGCAGTACTGAAAATGCTCTAATCAAGTATTCCCATTACTACAAAAGCAGACAATAGCTAAAATATGGACACATATTTCTTCTATAAGTAAACAAATTTAATGGCATTTTTAAATAATCTGTTTTTGTATTGTTTCAATTGGTCACACATGCATATAGTATCTCTGAAGCAAACCCTTTTTGCTTTGTTTCCTTTTGTTAAGGTTGTCTGTAACTTTTATCTTCAGTTTTGTTTTATACAGAGAAACTTCTCATAGAGCTGCCTCCACCCTTGTTTAGCTTCTGAGAACCAGCAGATATTTTTTATGTGTAAATTACAGTGTAGTGATAACAATGCATTTTTATATTGTAGGAGAAGTGAAGTTCCATTCTGTGGAGCCGTACACCAAAAGCCGCCTCAGTGCACTTCCTTTTGCAGATATTATTAGAGACTATAAAGTTATAGTGGATGGGCTCGTCCCAGAAAACCCACTTAAATTCCTTTATCCAGGTATTCCTAAAGATGAAGCATTTGGAAAACATTACAACAGTCAACAAAGCAAAGGTAGGTAATTACATTTATTGTACTTTTATATTAAGCACAAATGGTGGTAGCAAGAAATTTTATATATAATTTTCTTTACGCATTTATTAACACAATCTTAAAAATGTGACTGTATAAAATGATAACATTAGAACATTGAGAACAAAAATCAAGGTGTTTAAGTAATATGTTTCCAAAATCTGACTCTTCTGGTCACAGAAAAACTATTTTAACAGAACAATAGTCATTTTTTGGTATTAAAGAAGTGTTTGTTAATAGCTATTAGCATTATGATATCAGGCTGTTCCAAGAATCAGATGACTTTTTGTGTCTTTTCTTACAGCATCCCAGTATATTACTTCACATTTGATTCCAGTCTCCCAGTTGTGAGTGGATTTTAAAATTCAGACTTTTCCGTTGTTTTGCTGTATATTGTCTAAAAAGCATTTAAATAATGCTGGTCATGTTTTTATTTCAGTACAAATACTGCCTCTGCTCCATCCTCGTCTCTAGAGTTACCCATGTCACCTGGAATGTTTGATATACTGAACCAACAACTTAGCCCTTTGGAAATTGAGACTGCTGTAAGTTTTCTTATGTTTCTAAATCAAGCAATAACAGTCCTATATTTATTTAAAACTTGGAAAGAGATTGGTGAAGGTAACCAAAACAACTACATGTAAATTGGAAACAACAATGTAAATTCACTTAATAGGGTGTGTCCAGTGTGTATGTGCATCCAGTACAGCCTGTATACACCACGTCTAATAGCATGTAGAATTCAGAAGGAGGAGTGCAGCACTATTTTACCACTACAAAGTCAATCAACAGATGCCTGAATGATGGTGGTGGAAAATTGTCTCAGTCATTGTTCCAGAATATCCAATTGTAAAACACTAGGATTGGATAAGCCGTAATGGGATCTTTCATATACACTGCCAGTGTACTTTACAATACCTCAAAAAGTATTCACTTCCTGAACATTCCAAATATTTTCGTGTTACAATCAGAATTTTTAATGCATTGAAATTATTTTTCCCCTTTGTTCACACAACATTTAAAACAATTTAAAACAGCAAAAAATATTTTTATTGCATAAAAACATTAAGCAGCATGGTGGTGAAGTGGCTAGCATTGCTGCCTCGCAGAGCTGGAGCCCAGGTTCCAATTCTGGACCTGGGGTGCTACCTGTATGGAGTTTGTATGTTCTCCCGATGTTTGTGTGTGTTTCTTCCCAAAGTCTATAACTATCCTGGTAGGTAAATTTGCTTAGGGAAAATTGGCCTTAGGTGTAAGTTTATGTGTGTCTACCCTGCGATGGACTGGTGTTCCGTCCAGGGTATACCCATTGTTTGCTAGGATTGTCTCCAGCTCTCCCTCGACCCTGAATTGGAAGAAGTTAGAAAATGGCTGGATGGAGCAAAAATGTATGAAAAGTTAAAAATAGAAATATCTTATTTACTGTAATACCCAAGCCCCAAAGTCAATACTTTGTGTAAACACCATTTACGATGAAAATCTGGGGATTTTCACTTATTCTTCCCTGCAGATTTTCCCCAGCTCTGTCAAGCCGGGTGAGGAGTGTCGGTGAACCACAATCTTTTAATCTAGCTGATTCCATATTCTTTGCCTTTCCTAATGATGGATCTGGCTGTACTGGGAATTTTCAACACCTTACATTGTACTCCTCCTCAGAACTGTGCTTCCTCAGAATTCTATCATGGAGTTGTACTTCATGGCAGAGTTTCTGCTTTGACATGCACTGTGAACTGATATACCTTATATAGATGGATTTCATTTGAAATCATGTCAAACAACTTACCGGAGGTGGACTGGTGAAGCCCAGGTATATCTAACTTCCTTGCATTATAGCATGGGGGTGAATACTGACATTATAGTGACATTATAGTGTTTTGTTTTAAATTATATGTAAAAACTTTCAGAAGTTTCATTCCACTTTGACATTATAGTGTAATTTGTGTATATCAGTAACAAAATATTCCACATAAATTTATGTCTATTTGATTTTGCAGCATAACAAATTATGAAAAAATAAAAAGAGATGATTCTTTCTGAAGACCAGGAAAACAAAATGCAACAGAAAAGAAAAAACAGGTGCTCCTTTGTGTATAGTATAGTAAAACAAAAGCCCTAACCCATCAGCAAAACCCTTTCAATAACTGGGTCAGTTCAAGGGCACCTTGGCCTGAAGGCTATTCTGGAAAGCATTGGTCACAAAGTGGGATATAACCTGAGCAGGACACCAGACAGGTCACAGACAGACATAAACATACACACACTCACACCATTTTATACATAAGCCTTTTAACCCACCAGCATGTCTTTGGACTGTGGGAGGAACCCAGAGCACCCAGAAGAAACCCATGCAAACATACAATACCATGCAAAATCCACACAGATAGCACTCTAGGTATTGAACCCAGGGCCTTGGCGCTGCAAGAGAAGCAATGCTAAGCACTGTTCCACTGTGCCACCCGAATCCTGTGGGTGGCTTTGAGAGACAGTCATCTTCGCATTTTACACTTCTTCTATTATGACACAGTTCTCTAAAAAATCAGCATGGCTTTTTTTCCAGAGAGGTTTTTAGTACTGCTCACACTATGCCTTTATTGTTCTTTGAGACTCCCCTGCCTCATTTATCATTTAGGTTTAATGTCTCTGTGATAGTCTAACTGAGAATATCTTAAAACGTGAATTTGTTATGAGTTTCTCTGCTCTGTGTGAGTATCTGGGGGAATAACATCTGAAATGTTTCCATTTAGTGCACTCCTGAAGCAGTTGATTCATCTCAGCATTCTTTAAATTATCCTTCTTATTATTTGTAGTCTTGCTGTAGGCCCAATCAAAGGCCTGGGAATTCCTCCACTCGGTTGACCCTACTTGGTTTGTTCTTCCCTTCTTTTCCTTTATCTTCCCATAATGGCACACTAGGACCTCTGGCATCACCATCTTGAGGTCCACACACTTAAACTTACTTGATATTATATACTTGATTATTTTCTGTTTTAATTTTTAATTTATTTAGTAAAAATTCTGGATTATTTTCCACTTTGACTTAATAGAGTACTTTGTGTTGATGAGTGGAACAAATTCTCAGTTAAATGCATCGTGGTTCCATGCTGTAAAAATAAAATATGAAAAAGTCCAAGGGGGGTGAATACTTTTATAGGCGTTGTATAGTGCCTTGCAATAGTTATCAGGCGTTCTTAGAACAAATGCAAAATAGTTTCTCAGTATATTTTTCAAATGAACTTTTATTCAAAACTGTAATGATCAAAACCTTTTATAAGTGAAGAAAGATGAATGTTGGCAAACATTCAAAGAATATTATAAAAACTGTAATTTATTGATTGCATTTTAAGTGTTAAGCACCCTGGGGTAAGTATTTAATGAAAATACATCTGACAACTTGTCTCTAGCAGCTTTACGCATGGTGTAATTTTTTATCTTTATTCCTAGCAGTTTCCCCAGTTCTGACAAGTTTGTTGGGCATGATTGATAGAATGCATTCTTCAAGTCTCATCATAAGTTATCTATTCCAGTCATGACTTTGAGTGGACCACTCAAGGACATTAATGCTGTCAAACCACTCCTCAGTTGCTTTGGGCTTGTGCTTATAGTTACTATTCTGTTGCAATGTTAATTTCCAACCCAGGTTTGATAAAAGCAATTTTTCTTCTAGGATTCGCCTATATTGTGAACCATATATTTACTCTCAATCCTGACATGTTTCCCGGTCCCTGCTGATAAGAAGTATTTCCCTTAACATAATCCTGCTAATGTCATGTTTGACAGTTGGGATGGTGTTGACCAGATAAGGTGCTGTATTTAGCTTGAGACAGAAGTGTACACATTTTAACATTTAGATCACAAGTTTATTTTTTTGTCTCATCATAAATCATTCTGCCACATTGTGTAGCCAGCTTTGTGTAGGGATTGATACATTTTGCTTATCAATACTGACTCCAATCACAGTCATAGACCTATTTTGCAAATCGTTATTTTGTGTTCATAGTGACATCCCTAACCAGATTCCTGCTTGTCAGGCTATTCAGTGTGGAAGGGTTGATTGATTTCCGCTAGTGTCTGGGTGGTATGAAGTACATTTCACTTGTTGAAGATCAGTGACTAACTTATTCCTATCTTTGAGCTACTTTATTCTTGACTTGTGTAAAAAGTTATTTTTCTCTAGTTTGTCATATCATAATGTGGTCAGCCTAAACCTCTTCAAATTCTAAAGCAAGTAACAGGTACAGTATAACTTCATGTTTCTAACACAACCTCCTGGACGCTCTTAATAGTGAACATCCTCTATTTTTTTATTGCAGATGAGCTCGCCATAATCCTCATGGTAATATGAATACTCACAATATCAGAAGATGTATAGATGTATCCTTTGGCAAGCTCCATACTATTTCTACAATTCTGGTAAAAAAGTACTGACTTTTTCACTAAAAACTCTAAATTCTCAGATCTTAAAGGACTGCATATATAGAAATAAATAGGTTACAAATTTAATATTCAGTTATGCTAGAACTAGAAATATTTGTTTGTGGTTGAATACAGAATTGTGATGGTAACTTTACCGCGATTTTTTTTCTGTGCTATAAACAATATAGGCTATCAATAAAAAAGCATCATACTATTCACAGTAATCTAACAATTTAACATAGTTTTTTTCTCCAAATCAAAAAACATTATCCATTTTATATACTGCCCCCAAAAGAAATTGTGCATGTGGCAATTTGGATTTTTATAAGATGGTATGGTATAAGAGATAAGATGTACAATAAAACGAGTACATGTAATTACAATCCCTAATAGTGCAAATATTAATAATGAGTAAATGTACTTTTTGAATTAAAATCAAAGAATGTTAACTTGTATAATGCACTAGTAAGGCCTCATTTAGAACACTATGTACAGTTTTAGACTGTACAACCCAATGATTGTCTTCAGAATGAACCATGCAACTAGCTATCAAATGAATGTACAATTCCTGGTGAATGTTATTTCTAATGTTTGCCAGCTCCCTGGTCAAGTCCAGAAGTGTCTGTGATGGGTTCATTAGGCAGCGAAGACACAACTTTGTTTCATCCCATATATGTTATGATTGGAGATTGGAGACAAAACTGACAAATCTGTGGCTTATGCAAAAACTTTTAAATGATTTGCAGTGTGGGAGTGATCACTTTTTTTTTAGTAGTACAAGACCATGACCTGCATGAAGCAATAATAAGTGCACTAAGAATATTGTCTTTGTATTGTACTGCTGTTAAGTTTCCATTAAGTCATTTCTGAGTGGATGATGTGCCTTGACAACTACAGAACTGTAATCATGCCTGTCCCCTTCCACAACCACGACAGAGTAATTGGTACAGTACACGTAAATTGCTTTTCTGTGTTTTTTAAGTGATTTGTAAAAGCTTATTAGGACATTTCAGCTTGAGTCACACTCAGTGCTTGACTACATACATGGTTTTATACAGATGTAGCCATTCAGAATGCGCATGAAATCCCTGTAACATGTTATTGGGGCTGTACTTTACTGCGGCATGTGATTCGCTGGCCAAAGTTCATCGACAGGTGGCACTTTTGGTGGTGCATTAGATGTTAGTGAAATGATTGCTTCATTTAATCTCTGTACTGTGCAAGTTTAAGTGCTCAATATGGAATATTAATATGGAATTTTACAACTAAAGGGAAATTTTGGTAGCTGAGCATAAAAATAACTGTCTCTGAATGTCATAAATGATATTAATTTATAAATATATTATACACACTGTATATGGCTGGTACTGGTAGCTTAAATAAAAAGTACACAGCAGTATTCCACTTTTTTCATAAATATTTTATGCATCAAAGTCTTTAACCTGGTTAGTTAATGTGGTTATTTTGGAAAAGTTTCAACATGCTTGTTCTCACTATATTACGTTTATATACTTTAGAAAAAGCTATAATGTTTTAACCTTCTCTATGAGTAATTGCTGTCATTTTGCAGTAACAAACATGTATATTTTAGAATCTGCTTGATAGGGAATATAATAGGTATTTGTGTAACTAAAGAAATTAATAATAATATTAATTTAAGGATCTAAATATATTTATATAGCTAGTAGTATTACCGTATTCCACGTTACAGTGTGTTGGAGCATGCACCCTGCAAAGTGATGCAGTATCTGGCACACATTCTGAATGGCTGGACCTGTAATTTTGGCATCACTGTGTACAGGACAAATGATTAATGTTTCTTATTAAATATTATTACATATGTTCCAAAGAGAAAATGGGTATACATTTTACATATGTCGTTCAATAATTTATGACGTGTAATATTTAAACTCATACAAAGTATGAATCACCAATATTATGTGATGTGTTAATAAATCTGCCATGCAGTTTCATTTTTGGGGTAGTATATAACTGTATTAATACAATACAGTACAATACAACTGTACCAATCAATAAGCAAAATCTTTAGAGTATACTAAACAGGCTTTAAAATGATTTCTGACCTCCTTTAATCCTGTTATATATTAAATTCATGCCAAATTCAAAATGTAAAGGAAATCTGACAAATTGTCTGTTACTGACCCTTCCATTTTTTGATGTGTATGACGTATTAAATATTATTGGTTAAGTTTACCTTTTTCATTGTGTCACTTATTGAATGGATTTTACTTATTTTTTATGGTCTTTGTTTAGCTTTAAGCAGACATTTACATGTATTTACACACTGTAACAGCACTGTAGTTTTGTTTTATATGGAAGAACTAGTAAATATTACAGCCTACAAAAATATATTTTAGCAATGTCAAAAAAAGGCTTTTAGCACTTGTTACATTCAATAATTTAGCGAAATATTTTAGGTATTTCTATAGGGTCCCAAGACTTACAGTAAATGGAAACACGGATGTAAGAAATGTAATAAATATGTTGTGATAAAACTGCTAGTAACCTGATTTAACCATTGAGATTAAGACATTGTATTCTTGTCTAATTAATACTTTTGAAGAATGTATTCTAAGTAAATAAATACTGTCAACAGATAATAATGTCACTCTCTCTTTAAAACTGATGAAGGAAATCAGATCACTAGATCACAATGCTTCATCTTTTTGATTTTTAATATTGTTTTCCTTTTTAATTTTATGTTTTATGTAAGAATGATAATGAAAGTTAGAATTCTTAATATCTATTTCAATCACGCTGTATTTTTAATGGAAATCTATTTGTACCAGCTTGTTTGATTGTAATGATTTTAAATAAAATGTTCTCTCAGTGAACAGTTTGTCTTTCAAAGAATTATTTGATTAAAAGAAAAGATAAATCATGTGCCTTTTCTGCTTTTGTAGCATATGGTATGTATTTATATCACCTGGGAACCATTCATTATTCATTCATTTTCTCATATTTCTCATATTATTAATGTTTTTATAATCACTGATAGACAAAAGATATTTGTGCTCAACTTTTCCTGTCTCCATTTTTATTAAATACATAAATACAGTAAAACAACAAAATGATCTGAAAGTAATTAGTAATTATTAATACATTAGCTTTAAATTAAAGGTCTACAGGATCATGTCAACTGCACACCAATAATAAAATACAAAAAAATCAAGCCCCCCGGGAAAGAAAAAAGAAAGTCATAATTGTTGTAACAGAAAATTAAGTTTTGGATCCCGAGATGAAGTTAAACAGATGAGTTTTATTGCATGCAAGGAACACTAAAACCGAAGTCTTGTTCCCACAAGGAACAACAAAACCGAAGTATTGTTCAAAGTGCCGGTACAAAACTTCCAGTTTATATAGCCCTCTTCTGCCACTTCTGACGTAGCTCAATACTATGGTAATAACTTTTCTGAGGTTTTTAAACTTTTTTTTAAATTATATTTAAAAATGTTATCTTCAACAAATAGGGAGGTAGCAGAATGTGCATGGTTTAGGAACACTGGCAATCTTGTGAGCACACAACTAAGTGTCGCAGAATTCCAACTATATCTCGCAATTGTGACTTTATATCTCAGAATTCCGACTTTGTATCTTGCAATTACAACTTTTTATCTCACATTTGCGACTTCGAAATAGCCCACATTTCATTGTCTGTCCTTTAGTTATTGTTACGGATTTGGGTTCTAGGGCTTGTGCCCTCGCCGTTCCCACCCTAATTCGTGCCTCACTGCATTTGCTCGAACCCAGGTCTTTGCTTTGGTTTGATCAGGGGTGGTACTTGGTCCGAAAAGTCTGAGAACCACTGCAATAGACTATTGTTAGGTGACTGAAATTTACCTTTTGGATTTTAGATAAAGTTTGTGTCAGTCGTTGTCAAAAGGTATTTAGACTGAACCCTGTGCATAGCCGGAGAGTTGAATAGTAAAATTAGGTATCCAAATTGCTAGGCGAAGGGAAGTCAGGGGGCCATAAGCAAAGAGTCTATAACTGAGGAAGGAACAAATAGTACGTCTCTAGTAGAAGCTCTTCTCGAGCAGTCCTCAATAGCGCGGGAGGGGAAGTTGTGAAGAGAGGATTTAAATAGGAAAGGTGTGTGGGCTTAATTAAGGCGTGAGTGCTCGCTGCGCGTGGGAATGAGTGCGATTTGTGACAGTACCCCCTCCCTTCAGGGGCGGGTTCTGACGCTGTACAGCAATGGACGTCCTGGATGAGAGTTGTCTAGGATGTGCCTTCCAAGAATGCAGGATCTCTCTTCAGGTCCGTATCCCAGCCAGTCAACTAGGTATTGTCGCGATCCCCTGAATGAGCAGGAGTCCAAAATCTTATTAACAGTAAAGTAGAACCTCCAATGGAACCGTGGAGGGGGCAGGCGGGGTTGTGGTTTGGATAGTGAGCATCTGTGAGAAGGTTTGAGAAGGGAGATGTGGAACGTGGGATGGATGTGGAGTACAGCAGGGAGGGCAAGACGGTAGGAGACTGGGGTTACCTAGAAAACCACCCAGAAAGGATCAACGAAGCAGGGACCTAGTTTGTAAGACGGCTGTTGCAGGAGGACGTTCTGGGTTGACAGCCAGATGAACTGCCCTTTTCTAAGCCTAGGAAAAGGGTCTTCTATGGCGGTCTGTTGTTGATTTATAACCGCGAGCAGTCTTCAGGAGGGTAAGCCAGGCCTTCTACCAGAGCTTCTGAATGGAGATGTACTGTTGAACCAAAGGAGTATCAGACTCAGGGTGTGGCTAGGAATGAGTGAGGGTTGATATCCTAAGGAGCATTGGAATGGGGACATGCCGGTAGAAGAGGAGTAGAGGGAGATGTGGGTATATTCAGCCCAGGGAAGTAAAGAAGCCCAATTATTCTGAGAAGGCGATACGTAGGCCCGTAGGTAGGTCAGTAGGTCCTGATTAATCCTCTTGGTTTGCCTGTTGGCTTCTGGGTGATAACCCGAATTGAGAGAGACTGATGTTCCAAGGGCTTTGCAGAAGGCTTTCCAAAAAAAATACTCAAACTGTGGACCCCTATCCGAGACCATATCCTTAGGAATACCATGGAGTTGGAAAACACAACAGGTGAAGATGTCAGCCATCTCCCGGGCAGATGGTAAGGCGAGGAGCATTTTTAGAGAACCTGTCCACTACCAGCATAACAACAGAGTTAACCTGGCTCTTGGGAAGGTCTGCGAGGAAGTCTACTGATATGTGTGACCAAGGTCTCTAGGGTACCGGGAGGTGTTGGACTAGACCTGCCCTATGTTGGCGGGGAGACTTGGTCCTGGTACAGGTGGGACAGGCCTTAATGTACTCAAAGACATCAGTCTTGATAATGTCATCAGAAATGTCTGGAGATAAAGTCCAAAGTACATGCATGCCCTGCAAAGAGGAAGTCATGTCCCCATTGAAGAACACTTTTGAACCTTGCTATAGAGCACGTGATTTTAGGGAGCCTGGGTCTTCTGGGTAAAAGATACCTCAGTTAGAAATGTCTTTCCTGCTTAGGGTGCATTTTTATGGGCAGAGATATAGGCTCCCATTTATTTTGTGGCATCCGGGGTGCAGAGAGAGAGATTTAACTGCAGGTTGCATTGTATTGTAACGCAACGGGGGCTCAGGCGGGTGCCCTTGCTGCATCTGGTTGGCCCCATCCCGACTGGGGGCTCGAACCCGGGACTTCCACGTCTCTCTGCAGCGACCTAGCCCCGTGAGCTTAAGAGAGATCTCTCTACAGCCCAGTAGCTGTGGTCCTGCTATCACAGGGAAGGGCGGTGACGTCACCCGCTCTGGTACGCCGGCT